GGAGCCTGCTTCTCCCTCTCCCTCTGCCTGCTGCTTCCCCTGCTTATATTCTCTCTCTCTGTCAAGAATAAATAAAATCTTTAAAAAGAAAAAAAAGAATATTTATTCAGTGACACAACAAAGTGATTCAGGGCATTATGTAAACCCATTACTAGGGTTACACTAATCTGGAGGAAGTTATACCTATGCAGACTTGAGAAACATGAGTAAAAGTTACTCAAAAACATACGTAACTGCTGAATCAAGAAAGAAACGCCAGTAAAACTGAGTCATAGAAGTTGTATGTATACAGGAGGTAGTAAATGCTGTGAGATTTGGTTTGAGATGATGGCAGAGAACAAAGTTGATTAGATTTCAAAAATGTCCAGTTATGTTCCTGAAAGGTCATTTGGCTTCAGTGTGAATTGGAGAGCAGGAGTTGGGAAAACAAAAAGATATTTCAGTAGAAAAAGGGAAAGAATGCAGTAGCTTAGACTCAAGGCAGAAAGTGGTGGGGGAATTTATGGTAGTGGGAATAAGAGTAGTGGAGAGATCTGAGAAAATATTTATAAGGAAAAATCATGGCGGTAGGTAATTCAGTGGATGTGAACAGTGAAGAGGAATGAGATATAAGCCTGACACGCAGATTTTTGGCTTGAGCTAAGAGGTAAATAAATAATGGTACCATGTGTTGGAGGTATGGCACAATAAAAGGGGAGCATCTATGGGAGGAAAAGAGCAACTGGTCACAGTTTTAAAGTCAGTATTAGAAACTAAAATAAAGAACTTAGAAGGATAGGCTGGGCAAATATATTAGATGGTCTTCAGGATATAGATGATAGTTGAAACAAATATGAGGCTCACATCAGACATCATCCTAAATCCTGTTTCTATTCTCTCTGTTTTTCATATTCAATTGATCATTAAGTCCAATCAACTCTATTCCCTAAATATTTATTTTATCCATTCTCTTACTTTCATCAGACTTCAGATGCACTGGTCTGGGCATCTGTCAGACCTCTACCAGGCTATCAGAATCACACCTCACTCCTCGGACTCACACCTGTTCAATCTACCTATCGATACTGCCATCAGAGAGATCAACCACACAAGTAAATTAGCCGTATCCCTCACCTGCTCACAATTCTTCAATTGCCTCCATTTCCATGAAAGGTGAAATTTATATTCCTTGTACAGCATGTACTGCCCTATATGATCTAGACCTCAGTACTTACCCAAACATTCCAAGCTCCCTCAGGCCTGGAATTGTGTCTGTTATCCATGTTGCCTCTTCTGCCTGGAGGACATCTTCCCAAACTTTAAGCCTCGGCAAGAAAAAACATTCTCTGGTTAAACAAAGGGGTTTCTTTTGTGATCCCACTGACCTTCGCACTTCTCCTTGTTGGTGCCTATGTATGCTTTTCAGTCCATCCACTATGCAATAAATAATTTGAAGGCAAAGTCTGTATCTTTGCATTTTTGGATCTATAATGCCTAGTATAGGCTGTGAGTAAGTATTCAAAAAATTGGTTTTAAATGAATGGAAACTCACATTTTAGCATGGATATCTTTTTTTTAATTGCACATCAATATCTAATCTCATAGCAAGTTATATTGTGAGCTCCATTTTTTGGAAAATTATCATAATTTCTATGTGAAGTTTTATTTATAAGAGTTAAAACATAATGACCTAATTTATTTTAAGTTTGTGAATTCCACAAGACCTTTCTAACTTTAGATGGGCTACCTTTAAATGACATATTCTCTACTGAGGTGGAATATTGTGTACTTTCTCTAAATTGCTGAAATATGTAGTACCTGAGAAGAGGAAGTGGTATACAAGGAAAATGCCACATAGGAACACAATATGGAGAGATTTCAAAAGAAAATCACAGTTGGATATACATAACATCTTATATTATACTGGTGTGAATGGATTTCACAGTCTACATTCTAATTATATCGTGTACTTCTCTAATGGCTCTGCCCCCAGAGGGCCTCCTGGGAATCACCTGGCAGATTTTATTTGGCCCTGAGTGAATTTTAATGTAGTGAAAAGGTAGTGAATTCACAATGCTACCTATCTTGGAGATAAGAGAGAGAATGAGAATAAAACATTCTCCTCTAATGGACATTGGACACACTCTTGACTTGTCACCCTTGCAAGTAAGTAATTCAATCTCCCATCTCTCAGTCTTCATCAGCAGCATGTATTTTCAAATTGGACTGGTTTAAAGAGATGCTTGGCACACCAAAAGAGCTTTTATGGGTCCTCTCCTGAGTTTTTAGAGAATATATTACAGAGATACATATGTGTTGGAATCATTCTTTCATGAGAAAAGGCTGTTTGAACTTTGATCTTTATATTAAGAGAAACTGTTATTAAAATGAATTTGCAACTCAGTTTAATCTCAGAAGGAGACAGTTGAGTCATATGGAATTGCCAATTGTTGACAATTTTTGAACTATGAAATGGCAACTTCATATGGTTCAATCTAAATGTTTCTAGAGAAAATTTACAGTAATAGCAATCTTATTAGTTTGTCTGGCCTAACACCTTATATTAAAAATACTCTTTAAGGGGCGCCTGGGTGGCTCAGTTGTTCAGCGTCTGCCTTCGGCTCAGGTCATGATCCCAGGGTACTGGGATCGAGCCCTGCATCGGGCTCCCTGCCTGGCGGGAAGCCTGCTTCTCCCTCTCCCACTCCCCCTGCTTGTGTTCCCTCTCTAGCTGTCTCTCTCTCTGTCAAATAAATAAATAAAATCTTTAAAAAAAAATACTCTTTAAGTTTCATATTACTAAAACAGCATAGAAAACCAAGTACATATCCCAACTGGAAACAACTTTGATGTTTGTGAGGAGTATCAACTATTTCTAAACTATTCAAATATATCTTAAAGATAAATCATCCTCCCTCAACTAAAAAGTGTGATTAATATGTTTTGTTGAATCTTAAATACTGTATTCTTGGACTTCAATATATTTAAGTGGCAAATACCATGAACTGTTACAAACCTAGGAGAGTTATTCTATGTTTCAGGGAAATTTCTTCTTCCAGCATTTGGATAAACAGCATGAATGAAAATAAAATCATCATGCTTGGCAACTTATCTGAATCTCATAGGTAAGATGAACTAAAAAGGAGATAAAATAATTTCTCTTTTCTTGGTGGTTATTTCAAAAGAAAGCAAAGGTCAATTTCAGTCAGCGGGCCACTTACAATCCTCTGTTTCCACTGAGTCACTTTAAATACTGCAAGTTAGAAGATCTTTTCAGTGAATAAAAATATTAGAATGAAATCTTCCCAAATCTAATCTGTTAGCATCCTCTATCAAAATATTATTGTGATTTGTCAATTTTGTTAGCTCTGTAACTGTCTATGAAGCAGTGAGGATAGTTGTACAGAGAAAACTGGCATAGACATTTTCAAAGAACAAAGATCTGAAAGAGAATTGGATTCTTCCCTGTTTCTGCCATAGAAGATTCAAATTATTATCTGTATTCATTGACACAATTACACATGTATTTTCTCTTGTAATAACAAGATGGGAGGACTTCAGACTAATTGTAGGGTGAGCAAATTTCACTCTCTTTTCAAATAAACAGTAGCATCAAGAGCACATGAGTTCTCATGGGAGAAGTTTCATGTATGCATTGTCTTGAGAACTGTATCAGCCCATCCGACAACAGCAGATTGCTGACCCCATGACGCAGGGCCCATTTCTAAGTCATCAGCAATCTTTCCTCCGAGTCCTAAACAAAGGCACAGCTCCACATAATAACCACGCGTAGACCATAAGGGAAGAGAGAGAGAAAAAAAATGTAAAAGTAAATCCTAAAATCAAAGGTTCCTAGTGCTTCCGTTTCACTGATTAGGTGGGATTTGGGTAAGGTAGTTTAGGGTTGTTTTTTCCTCCCTGCCTTCCCAGTTCTACAATCACAATGGCCCTCTAGTGGGATGCTAAATTAAGAAGCATTTTGTTTGTATTGTTAGCAGCTAGATGGAAACAGTCACAGAGAAATGTTTTATTATGGTGAGGAAAGGACTCCTTTAATAAGACTCTTAGGAGACTGAGTTTTAATGACGCTTAACACCATGTTTGAAACCATACACCACATCTACATGTTATTTCTTGTTAAATGCTGGTTATTAAACAGCAGGCTGGCTCCAGATTGCCTACAGAGGGTAGTTAGGATTGGCTGATACGTCTCTGACAATTTGAATAGTAGATGGAGTGACAAGTGCTGTTTGCATTTAAAGGATTTTACATTTTAACATCTGCACAGAGCAACAGTGTATATTATTACCCAGTGTACTTCTGCACAATATGTTGAAGGGTTAAAGCCAATTAAGCACAATTGTAAGTTTCAATTTCTTTGAAAATTCTGTGCCCTCATCCAAACTTAACATGCTTAAGCTGGAATGATTTCCCTCACTACTTAACCCAGGGATCTCGGCAGCGAATTGCTGTTCAAAACTGCAGACCAGAGAACAAGTAAGGGAAATGAAGAACAGAATGTGCCCCAAGGAAAGATGTAAGCAATAAAGCAATACGTGTTTATAAGTAGGTTTTTTTAACCATTTAAAGGCTTAGCATTTTAAAATTCAACAGGAAACAGAACACTGTTTTGTAGTACCTGTACTTTTCCCACTGTTAATCTCACAGCTCTCTTGCTCCAGTCTTTTCCCACACCAAGGAGAACCAGTTATCATGTGGGTCAGGGACACTGCTTGATGCCAAGGAACCAAGGCATGCAGTTTTCAGATGTTAACTCTCAGCATTAAATGTGCTTATTTCTACATAGCCTGCTTTCTCTTTACATCTTTTATTTTTGGATCCTGCTTCAAATGTGTTCTCTTTTGAATTGCTTATTTCCCTGTAACAGGTGGGCAAAGAGAGCAGTGCTGTCTTCTACTTGGGCAGGTCCTCATTGTGGGGATGCTTAGAGGTAGGATCAGTAGGTTAAGTCATCCCTTCTGTAGGCTTTGGAGAAAAAAGGTTATCTCACTTACCTCTTTTTTTTTTGTCCTTTAGGTTTTCCTTCTGTCTCTTCTCACCATTGCCACTATAAGACATCAAGAGATGAGCCCAGGTGCAAAAGTGCCCAGGTGTACTACATATAATACAAGTCAGCGATTTCCAGTGAGAGGGTTAGTGATGGCTCTTTTCACAATCTCTAGGGTCAGAGAGGGTAGAAGACTGCTCGTTAGAAAGGCTGGAATGTTTAACTTTATCAAAAAGAGGAAATAGACTTAAAAATTTGAGCAACACTGTCCTAGACCACAGTGAGTGAATCGTAAAATCTGAATATGACCGTGGAAATACCGTGAGTATAAGGATGTGATGCCTTACTGGGAAGAAATTCTGTGAGCGACTGGCTTAACTCCAAAGGAGGGGGAAAATGAGTTCTGTGCTTGTCCATAGTCCAGGTCACTTTACCAAGGTTGGGAGTTTCATGGGGTTCAGAATCAAACCAGGTACATATGCCTAAACTCTCCAAACACTTGGGCATTTCTTCCTACTGAGAACCTCATGGGTGTGGTAGGGTGCTGATTGAGGATCAAGTTTGGATGGCCCTGTCTTCTTCATATACGTGTAAAACCAACCACAACCTCAGTCGGTATCATCAGGTGTGTCCTTATGCTATACGAAATTATGTGTTAAGATATTCTATTGCACATTTCAATTACATCGAGTCATGGTGCTGCCATCTAAACATATAAGGTTCAAACCAAACTCTCAATTCTAATGTTGTGTCTAAAGCCCTTAGAAAGTACAATATGAACTGAAAAAAACCAATTACAACCTTACCTTTGCAACTGATTTTCCGTTTGTTATTGGGCAAGTCCTTAATCTATTTGAGGTCAAGTAGATTCACTCCTGAAACGAAAATAATAATACCTGCATTATATACATTGTGGAGTAAATGTGAGAATTAAAATCAAAATGACATGAAGTACAAGAATATGCTTTGTAAAGCTAAGTGAACTGCTACTTAAAAATATGAGTTATAGTTGTCGATAACCAAATTGTGACACAAATATCTGAAACATGAAAGATTCTCACTTTTTCTTGAGTGTGATAGGGCCTTAGATAATGCACTCCTTATTTATAGTTTCTTCATTAGGGTAAAGAAAACACATTCTGATTGCAGAGTATTGGAGGCACTTGGAAGCTCCAAAATGGTAGGCAAAGTGAGGCCAAAGAAGTTACACATAATGCCATTCTGATACATATAGCCTCTATCAATAATAATATCTATTTCCTAATTAATTATTCTATCACTCTCTCATGTTTAAAAGCTATATCATCATTACCATGCAACCTGAACTTTTATCTTCAGTCTTTCCATCCATACAGTTCTGTTTAAAAGCATGGTGATTAATTAAGAGATTACAAATGTCCAAATTCGGCTGTGCTACTTTTTACGGGTTTCATCATCTATGGCTAACTGGTAACCACTCTGTTTTCTGTCTTGAAAATGGGTATGATAAAAATACCAACCTATAAGGTTAATGTAAGATTCATATGAGTTGATATATATATTAAATGCTTCATAAATATTAGCATTTATTATTAATACCTTAGTAAAAGACAGTTTCTTAGGAAAATTTTTTTAAAAGACAAAAAAAATTAAGAAGCCAGTCTTGGTTCTTCTCTTTTCTTTATAACTGAAAGCTGTGGGTTCTTCCTTCAAGGTATATCTTAAGTCTCCTGTCTAACACCCCCATAGTTATTAGTCAGCTTGTCTCCCTGCTTTCTTTCTGACCAAACTACAATTTATTTCCCTGTCACTGCCAGAATGATCACCCTCTAATCAAAATTATCCAGGGAGTTATTTCTTCCCTAAGGTTAAATCTCAATTCTATATTGTTTTACCAATATAAATCATATGATTGTCTAACTGAGCATATTTTAACTGGTTTTCTTAGGCTTTATTGAGATATAATTGACATATAATATTCTATAAGTTTAAGCTGTACAAAGTACTGATTTTGTATATGTATATATTGCAAAATGGTTACCACAATAAGATTAGTTAAAATATTATCACCTGACATAGTTACATATTTTTTTGTATGGTGAGAACTTTTAAAATCTACTCCCTTAGCAACTTTTCAATATACAATATATTATTGTTAATTACAATCACCATGTTGGACATTGCATCCCAGAAGTTATTCATCTTATAATTGGAAGGGTTTACCCTTTGACCACCTTTACCCATTTTGTCCATCCCCCACACCCACCCCTGCCAACCACTAATCTGTTCTCTGTTTTTATGTTTGTTTTTTTTAGATTCTACATATAAGTGAAATCACATAAGATTTGTCTTTGTGTGACTTATTTCACACAGCATAATGTCTCCAAAATCCACCCATGTTGTCACAAATGGCAAGATTTCCTTCTTTTTTAATGACTGAATATTCCAATGTGTCCGTGTGTGTGTGAAAATAATTACATTTCTTTATCCATTCATCCATTAATGGACATTTAGGTTGTTTTCATGTCTTGGCTATTATAAATAATCCTGCAAATGAACATAGAGGTACAGATGAAAGTAAGCATATTTTATCATAAGTATCTAAGAATACAAATATGTTTCTTCAACATAAGACAGATACTACAAGATTTTTCAAAAGTTACAAGGAAAGATTATTCAAAATATTAAGATATTGGGGGCTCCTGGGTGACTCGGTTGAACATCTGACTTTTGATTTCTACTCAGGTCATGATCACAGGGTCATGAGATGAGCTTCACCTCAGGGTTCGAAGCTCAGTGGGGAGTCTGCTTGAGATTCTCTCTCTCCCTCTCCCTCTTCCCCTCCCCCTGCTCGTACTCTCTCTCTCTCTCTAAAATAACTAAATAAATCTTTAAAAAATATAATAAGATGTTGGATACAGTATGTAATAGGCTTGTTGTTAGTATTCTGCTCTTAAAGGATGGAAAACTAGTCTTAGGTTTCCTCAGATTTCCATTATCCCCAATCCCATTTTATTTTATCATTTTTTTCTGTGTAGGCTTACAATCTCTATATGGCTGGTATTAGCTGCTATTCATATGTTTATTTTTTATTTAAATATTTCAATGCTCAGTTAAGTCCTTTCAGTAAATCTTCTTTGAATTCTTCATATTTTGATTTATCTTTTGGTTGACTGGATTTTGTCATCATGAAGTCTTTATTTGCCAAAAAGATCTCAAAGATTCTGTATTCTCTGATTCTTGCATGCCTAAGCTTATCTACCCATTGTTTTCATGGTCAAATGTCAACATGAGCAGTTAGTAAATCCTTGAATCATAGAATCCGTATCTATGGTTTAGTAGTCTTTAGATAAAAACTACATTATCTATATCAAACCTGTATAATACACAACACTGACAAGATTAAGATAAATCTTATAAAGGCTCCCACTTAGAAAATAAAAGATGAGGAAAAACACAAAATAGTCATTCTTCTGGCACACAATAATATTTTGTTGGGTCATGACTGTTCAGCAGAGACAGGAGTGCTTTGGACAGCCTAATTGGTAACCTTTGATCCAGCTCTCTGGGAATATCTCCCTTGTTCATTGTCCCGTATGGCCAGATGTGTGATTGGCAGTACAGAAGTTTATCCTTTTGGGAGATGTACAGTTTTATCAACCCTCCTCTTGTGGTATAAATGTTAGGGGTAGGGATATTGCCTTAGGATTTAAACAGTCATAGAAAATTTTCAATCAGACTTTGACTGTCTTTGGCAGAAGCCCTCTTATAATACCCAGTTAAGATTCCTGTATATTTTCTTCCCATATGTCCACCACCAGATACATTGCCCAGAAACTCATTTTGGGTCTAGAAATATTTGGCTCTTGGCAATAAACTTTATCACTGGCATTGTTTTATGGTATCTGTATTGAGGAAGGTTCTAATACCTCTGAGTAGGAAGAGAATGATTATCTGTTCCTTGTACCTTGCTCTGTATAAATTTACAATGAGAGAAGCCTTCTTCAGCCAGAGATGGCTTGACAGGAGTTCTTATAGATGGACTCTCGTAAAGGGAGGTAATATTCAGCTGACTAAATTTATCTCCTGTTAACTCCCCCAACTGTGACTCTGATTACATTAACTCTGGTTTGAGGTATGAAATTTTAGGCTTCCATTTGTTAAAATTTCCAAATAATCTCAGTAATTTTAGCATAAAGTCTCTCTCTTAGCATTTAACATAGTTATAATTTGTTTACCTTCTTCCCTCAAATATAAAGCCCTTTCTACCTTCTGTATGAGTCTGCCCCTTTCTTATAGGACTATTAATGAATGCTATAAAAAAGAGCCAATACAGACCAGACCTATGCCATGATCTAAGTAGTAACATAAAACAAGCCACAGTTTAACCGATTGTTTTGTTAAGGCATAATATATACGGATAACTTGTAAGCCTGAAAAAAGCAGGATCCTCAAGTGTTCTGTCTGCTCTGTGTTTTAAGTTCAGCAAGGTGCGTATTTTAGGATCTGTTCCTTTCAGAATCCCATATAATGCAGACTTTTAATATAACATTGTAACATCTTAGTCCTGCTGCTGTATAAGACTAGATTTTTTGTAGATGTTTGTACTTGGCTACATTTATACAAACATCTTTTTCTGATGATAAGATGGAATTTTAAGAAAGGTCTTCTCAAAACAGCTTAGCATAGATTTTAGTTCCTATACCCTACAAAGCAACTGAGAGGAAGAATGAGAACAAAAGAAACTGCTTTGCTCCCAGCCTCAACATATGCCAGAACATAATTCATGTCCCAAAAAAGCAGTCAGATAACTAACCAACCCAACAAAAAAAAACCTTGGCCACTTCAGTTTATTCAAAATTTGGGTTCTCACAAATGAACCCAATCCTCATCTTTATAAATTAAAAGCAGTCTCTAGACAGGACAAACAATACGTCAAGATTGGCTAAAACATCTAGAGTACTGGATTCATTTCTGTATCATCTAGGAATGTTTTTTCCTTCAAGTGACAGATAGCTGATCATAGGAATTGGACAAATTTCTTCTCGTGGCAAGAAGTCCAGAGGAAGGGGTGACTGACATTAGTGCAGCAGTATCACATGTCCTGGCCACTGTATTTGCACATTACTCGTATTCCCCTCCAAGTAGCAAGGTTGTTGCAGCTAGAGTAATTGCACCTGTTTTCTAGCAGGATGGGAAAAGAAAGAAAAAGAGTGAATCTCATTACCAGAAAGCAAAAACTCTCCCAGGGACATCACAGTTGACTGTGGCCCATATCTCATGGGTCAGAGCCATCTGACTGGCCACCCTCGTGTAAAAAGGGGCAAGAAAGCAAGGGTTTTGGAATGATGCTTAGGTCAGTTTTAACAATGGTGGGCTGGTCAGCTCCTGAATGTTTACAAAATCTGACTGGTTAACTTTCAGGAATCATGTGAACCAGTTGTTAAACAGAATCTATTATTAAAAATTAAATTATATGAACTTATACTATATTAAAAGAGAAGTGATGAATACTCATCTTTTCCTAATTATTGAATTACATTTTTCTATTGTTATATTCTTGGGGCTATTTATCTCAATCACATCTTTATAGAGGAAATGCTATTTAAATGGTGTGCTTCTATGTGTCTCTTCCCAAGTTTGATTCAGAGATATCATACCGGTACTTTACTATTGAGCCTGGTGGGAGCATTTATACCACAGAAATCAGAAAATGCTACATACAAATTGGGTCCTTTTGTGTGTGTGTTTTGTAGATTGTCCAGAGTTTAAAACGTGGAAGAGAAAGTTTTCATAAACCAGATTAAATTTAAAATTTTCCCTGCCCCTAGTTGTTGCATTGTAATTAAACTTGAAAGTGTGTCTGTGTCTAGAGCTATTACATTCTGAACAAGTC